TATTTTTGTTTGTTTTTACAACTTTTTTTTTTTTTTTTTTGGTTTTTCGAGACAGGGTTTCTCTGTGGCTTTGGAGGCTGTCCTGGAACTCACTTTGTAGACCAGGCTGGCCTCGAACTCACAGAGATCTGCCTGCCTCTGCCTCCCGAGTGCTGGGATTAAAGGCGTGCGCCACCAACGCCCGGCTGTTTTTACAACTTATGTTTCAAAGGTTTCAATAACCTTTGAAAAGCAAAGTTAGTCACACAGATCTCTCAAAAACTTGCTGTTAATGGGAAAGCCATGTGGTGCATTGCGAGAGAACTTAATCTTGGGGTGACAACAGCTGCAGGCAGTGTTGAAAATGCAGTGCAGCAGTAGAGAGAGTTCTTGCCTAACATGCACGAAGCCCTATGTTCTATCCCCAACATTGTAAACACAAAAAATAGAAATAAGGATAAAACTAAGGATAGTGGCTCTATCAAGGTTACCCAGAGGCACCAAGGTGACAGCCAGATTCAGCCTAAGGACAAAGTTGCCTCCTTCATTCTGGCCTTAACAAAACTACTTTCAAATGATATGTCACAGAATCTCATTCTCCACAGCTCAATTTTTGCTTGTTCCGAAACTTTACCCATTCTGTTGGCATAACCACTCACAACATTATTTGTGGACAAGTAATTCTCTCAATGTGTTATTTAAAAATTATCCCTATATATGCTCTTATATCCAACCTCAGAACTTCAAGGCATGATCTGTTTTATATTTCTGTTCCAGAATATTCCTACAAAGCAGGCATTCTTAAGTATTTGTTAGCGTGAACTGTGATGTCCAGGAAACAGTTCTAGGTTTTTGTTGTTGTTATTGTGGCTGTGTGCGTGTGTATGTGTTATTCATGGGCATATGCATGCATGTATTCATGTGTGTGAATGCACATGTATGCATAGGTGCACCTGTTACCAATTTTGGCATTGGGGGGTCTTCCTCAGTTACTTTCTACTTTAACTGCTGAGGCAGTCTCTCTCGCTGGATTCAGAGTGCCCTGATTATGAGTAATATAGTTAGCAGTTTGCTCCAGGGATCCCATCTCTGCATCCAGCCCATGGGATTACAGGTAGCCAGGACTGCTGCTATGCAGGACTGCTGCCATGCTTTATTGTGAGTCCTGGGATCACAACTCCAGCCCTTCAGGGTAGCACAGCAGCACTAACCCATTGGGCCATCCTCTTTTTGCTTTTTTGGGGACAGGGTCTTACAACATAGCCTTAGCTGACCTGGAACATGCTGTGTGGATAAGACTGACCTAGAGCTTCCTATGATCCTCTTTCCTCTACCTGCTAAGTGCTGGGTTTATAGGTGTGCATTACCATGCCTATAGGATTGTTTTTCTTTTTTATTTACTTATTTATGATGTTAGGAATAGAACCTATTTATTACTGAGCTACCCCCAGTCTCACAGAATTTTAAAATGGTTTTGGGGGCTGGGGAAAGACTGAGAATTAAACCTGTAGCCTTACACATTAAAAACAGCTCTCTCTCTTGCTGGAGCCTTTAATCCCAGCACTTGGGATGCAGAGGCAAGTTGATCTCTGTGAATTCAAGGCCAGCCTGCTCTACAGCGCAGTTCCAGAACAGCCTCCAAAACAATACAGAGAAACCATGTCTTAAAAAACAAAACAAAACCTCTAGCTCTGTAGTTAACACATCAGTCTGATCCAGTCCTGCTCATCAGTATTCTTTCTTCAGAGGAGGAAGAACATGATTGATTCCTTACTTTTACATTTTTTAATATAACAGGGTGTTGGGCTGTTTTAAACTCCTATCCATCTTCTGCATTAGTTTTCTTCTTCTTAGTTTTACTATCACACTTCTACTCGCCCTCCCCACCCCCAGTCTTCTATGTTAGCTGGGGCTGTCCTCAAACCCAGGATTCTCCTAACTCAGCTGGCTCCATGCTGGGATTACAGGCATGAGCTACCACACCCTGTTTCTTGGAGGGTAGCCCAATCACTACCGCTCTCTGCACCTTCATACCATTTGAAGTGTATGTCGTATGCAGCTGAGGTCATTTTTTTATAATTCGAAAGAATTATACATTCTACACACTTTTCCTTCCAGGAATTTCCAAAAGCATTCTAGAGGATCAGATGATCGTGGCATATGGAAAAAGAATAAAAGGATGTAGCTGAGCATGGGTATTTGGAGTAATCTGCATGGTATATGTACATGTATATGTAGATCATATATACACATTAAAAGGCCATTTTTTGTTTTTTGTTTTTTGAGACAGAGTTTCTCTGTATTGTTTTGGAGGCTGTCCTGGAACTCGGTCTGCAGACCAGGCTGGCCACCTCAACTCACAGAGATCCACCTGCCTCTGCCTCCCCAAGTGCTGGGATTAAAGGCGTGCACAACCATTCTGATAGATTATTTATTTTTGTTTGTTTGTTTGGTTTTTAAGATTTATTTGTTATGTATACCTGCAAGCCAGAAGAGGGCACCAGATCTCATTATAGATGGTTTTGAGCCACCATGTGGTTGCTGGGAATAGAACTCAGGACCTCTGGAGGAACAGCCCTTAACCTCTAAGCCATCTCTCCAGCTTTTTTGTTTGTTTGATTTGGTTTTTGGTTTTTGGAGACAGGGTTTCTCTGTGTAGCTTTGGAGCCTGTCCTGGAACTCACAGAGATCCACCTGCCTCTGCTTCCTGAGTGCTGGGATTAAAGGTGCAAGCCACTACCACCTGGCTAGATTATTTATGATAAAAAAGAGAGAGATAGCTGCACAAAAGATTTAAATTGCTTGTCTTTTCTTATTTTAGGATGTTCCTCTTCTGACCTAATGGTGACAATAATTTTAGAAATGAAACTAAAACAGCAAAGGAAATTTCAAAGTGAACTTTCCCCTAGCATCCTGCCTTAGGCACTAGGTGCAAGCTCCACGACTGTAAGGAAAAAACAAAAACCCAAAAATTTTCTTCTCAGCACACTGGAAGATGGAAGCAGAAAGATCATGCTTTAATAAATAAACACCATCACCAAAAGTGACTTAACTTTTTTCTGGAAATGTCAAATTTAGTATATGAAGATAAATTTTGAAAATTGATGCAAAAATTTTTTAATATTCGACCCCCACTTTCAATTCAAAGACAGGGTCTTCCTATGCAGATCAGACTGACCTTAATTTACTATGCCACCCAGGTTGGCTTCTGATTTTCCTGTCCCAGCCTCCTTAATGTTGAGATCGAAGATGTGTGTCATAACATTCAACTTTAAAGTAACATTGTCAAGATTTAGCAACCATGACATAAGAATTACTCCAGCCAGGTGGTGGTGCACACCTTTAATCCCAGCACTCAGGAGGCAGAGGCAGGCGGATCTCTGTGAGTTCGAGGTTAGCCTGGTCTACAGAGTGAGTTCCAGGACAACCTCCAAAGCAATACAGAGAAGCCCTGTCTCTAAAAACCCAAAATAAATAAATAAATTACTCCATAGCTTACATTAGCAAATGTTATAATATTTGTTGACTTAAGTAGATTTATTTAAACTAAAGCTGGAGGCCAGGATGGTGGCCACACATGTTTAATCCCAGCACTCAGGAGACAAAGGCAGGTAGGTGATCTGTGAGTTCCAGGACAGACAGGGCTACTCAGAGAAATCCCTGCCTTGAAAAGCAAACAAACAAACAAAAAGTGAAATTAATAAAGTTTACAGAGTTGTTATTCCTTTGGAAAGCATAAAAGTCTTTATAATTATTGTTTAATGCTTTTCAGGAGAGAAACAGATGAAACAAAGGCCGAGGGCCGGGGACGTGGTTCAGTTAGAAGAGTGTATCTCTAGCACGCACTTTAAAAACTCTGGGGTTTTATACATAGTGAATCTGAGGCCAGCCTGGACTTCAGGAGACCCCGTGACAGGCATACCAGTAAGATGCGGCAGAACACATGTAATACACTGTCTACAGGTTCTGTTTTCTCACTGTTTTGTTGAGACACCTTGATTTGTTTTTACCAGGGAGGCCTCCTTTCTTTGTACTCTGCATCTGTACACGCCGAATAGAGGCCAAAAGATAAAAATACACATACCTAAGGATTTCCTTTTTTATGTGTAAAATCTCCACATCTTGAGTGTTCCAAGTATTTATGATGTAATGTCTATTTTTTGGAGTTGATGAAAAAGAACTGAACTCTATTTTGTAAAAATCAAAGGCAGATTTAAGTAATCTAGAGATGAGAGCTTTACTTTTTTGACATATATCCAGTGACTGAGCTGTAAGGCTTTAAAAGCAAAAATTCAAGGACAATCTAACAAGCTCCAAAGCACTAAAAGGGAAAAAATAATTTGTGCTTTAGGCACAAGGAATTTTAAGAATTGTCGCGGCTCAACAAGCTTGCAAACTTTTACTTCTGCCACAACTCCAATATTGCCAGAAGCCCTTGCCCCCAACTCTGTCCCTCCGGGACAAGCTCGGTGACGAGTCAGTGGCGGCCGGCCGCGGGGCAGGTGCTACCGGGGGCAGCCCCCCTCGGGAGGCCCGGGAGGCCGGGGGGAAGGGGCGTCCCCGCTCCGGTCTGCCTAATTACCTCTGATGAGCCTCAAAGATCACCCGGGAGAAGACTAGGCCAGGTACCCCAAACCGAAAGGAGGCGACAGCGACATCAGCGGCTAAACCTTACGCTTTTTTCACAGAGCGGTCTAACGCTCCCGCACTACGGTTACCGGCGCTGCCTGCGGGTTCCTAGGTTAGAGCGGAGAGGCGGGCGGGTTGGGAGAAGGTAAAGGAGGGTCGGTAGGGTTCAGGAGAGGGGAAGGGGAGGGGAGGGAGCCGGCCGCCGCCCGGAAGGCCACAGGTTTATGGGCAAGGTCTTGGCGTTCCCATGGCAACGTATCCCTCCGCCGGCGGCTCGCTCCGCCTCTCAGGCCCCTCCGCCCCGCCCCTCGGCTGTTTCCGCCCAGCTCCTTTGTGCCGCGCAGAACGTTGACACGACGCATGCGCAAGGGAAAAAAAAAATTCCCCCGCCCGCCGCGTATATAAGCGCGGCCCGGGCCTCTTCCTCGGAGTGCCGCCAGGAGAGTCGACGCGGGAGAGCGTGCGGCCGCCTCCGTGCTACCCGAGCTGCGAGCGCGCTGCGAGATAGAGCCGAGTACGCGGGCCGGCCATCATGTCACGTTACGGGCGGTATGGAGGAGGTGAGCGGCCGGGGGCCCCGGGGAGGACGCTGCCGGTGGCGGCCCGAGCGGAGCGAGGCCGCCAGGGTCGGCCCGGCGGTTGGAGACGGTTATTCCGCGTGCGTAATGGCGGCCCGGGCGCACGCCGTCCACAGCCGGAGGCCGCGGGGGCGGGGTGTCGGGGAGAGCGGGGCCCGGGGGCGTGAGCGCGGCGCGGGGCGTGGGCGCCGGGGCGTCGCGGCCCCCCAGGCCGGGCGGGAACGTGGCGGGACGGTGGCCGCTGTGGTGCCGGCCGTCTCCGCGCCGCCGCCCGCCTTCTCCCCACCCCCGCCCGCCCGCCCGGGCCGCGGCTGCCATTTTGAGCACGTTGACGACCGCGGTGGCGCATTTTCCTCGGCGCTTTCCCGCCACCGGAGCGCGGAGGTCCGGGCGGTGAGGTCCGGGGTGGGCCTGGAGACGGGGCGAGAGGGCCAGCCGCGGGATGCGCGTCGCCCCCGGCAACGGGTGGAATTGGGGAAGGAACGTGAGGGAAAAGAGCCCTGCGACCGGCGACGGCTTCCTTTATTTTTTCTTTAAGCCTTTTCTAGCGTGACTGCTTTTGGCTCTGGGCGAGCCTGCGGCTGCTGTTGGAAGGCAGGAACCCGTGCTCTGCGCTTCCCGGTAGACCTCGCCGGAGCCCGCGCGCCCTAAACTCGCCTCGGGCTGCCGGGCCGGAGCCCACCCCCTCCCCCACGCCTTTTTTAATCTATCACGCTCCTTTGCGGAGTTTTCCCAAGGTTTCCACCCTATCAGAACGCCAGAACTTGGTCACGAGTCGGGCTTTCATTATTTCCCGAGGTGAAGGCTACGCTTTAATCATTGGTGGGGAGCGCCAAATAAAAGGAGCCAGGCATGGTGGCGCACGCCTTAGTCCCAGCTGTCCCGGGGAAGCTGGGAGCCACGAGAGTCGCTTGAGCGTTGTGTAGGTAAACATCTGGAGTGTGGCTCCGTGCTAGATCCCTTACTGGACTTTGTGTAGCCTGAAAAGTCTGTTGTAAAGGAATGAATTCAAACTTGAGGTACACTTGGAGTAACATTTGTGGTGTTTGCGTTTTGAAACAGAAACCAAGGTGTATGTTGGCAACCTGGGAACTGGTGCTGGTAAAGGCGAGTTAGAAAGGGCATTCAGTTACTATGGACCCTTAAGGACCGTATGGATTGCCAGAAATCCTCCAGGATTTGCCTTCGTGGAATTTGAAGATCCTAGAGATGCAGAAGATGCAGTTCGAGGATTGGATGGGAAGTAAGTGCATTTAAAATATTCCTGTGGGCTAGATGTAATCTTGTTGTTAATCATAGATTGCTCTGATCTGGAGGGATGGGGGCATTGTATTTTGATAATGCTGGCATTGCAGGCACCTGATAATTTTAAGATTTAGAACCAAAGGTGGAATTGGAAGAGCTTTGTAAACAAAGACAGACGGGGAATGAGTGGTTTGTTGGTACATTTCTTTTAGAAGTCCTGTGGATATTTTAATTTTAGTGTTTTCTTGTTGCAGAGTGATTTGTGGTTCTCGAGTGAGAGTTGAATTATCAACAGGCATGCCTCGGAGATCTCGATTTGATAGGCCACCTGCCCGACGTCCCTTTGATCCTAATGATAGATGCTATGAGTGTGGTGAAAAGGGACATTATGCTTATGACTGTCATCGTTATAGCCGTCGAAGAAGAAGCAGGTATTTAATTTAAAAAGGAATGGTTGGTATTCTAGTTAATCAAAGTAATTCTTTTATTAGCAAGGCAGAAAACTAGTGTTTTTCTATAAACTTGAATGTTAATTGTACAGGTGTATTTTACAGTTTTTGTTTACTTAAAAATGTTAATATATTAATAATCAACCTGGTCAAAACCTTTCAGGTTTCTTCGTTTGAGTCAGTCGCCTTGATTCAGAATGTCACGAGCCTTATGATATCATGCTGAGGCGCCTTGCAAATCCGACAATTAAGATCCTCCTAGACCTTGAGGTGATCAGCATAAGAGGCCAGATCCCCTCGAGTCATCTACACCTAGCTTCACCTTATTCTTTAAAGGGCAGAAAATTTGAGTCGGTGATCGCCGTAACAGTAAATTTGGCTTACAATTGGGGCCCCCTCCGCTTTAGAAAGAGGAACACCAGATTGACCACATTCCCAACTAGAAAAATCTTCTTGCGTCAATCAAGCCTCACCTGGCTCTTTTGGCTGTCAGTTTGATCGTCGTTAGATTGAAGAAAACATCTAGATGCAGCGATCGGCTATAGATACTTCTAGATCGTCTAGATCTACTAGACCTACTACTAGACCATGGGCCAAAGAGGGTCGACCTGCAAACTTGCAAGGTTTATTTTAAATACACATTATGGTGTTTTATATTTTGTAATTCTAAGTTGTAATTCAGCTTTTAACAAATCTTTTTTTAGGTAGTAAAAAAAATAAACTTATAGGCCCAGAGTTTTTCCAAATGAGATACTAAATTTTAAATAGTTTCTGAGATTTGATTTCAGCAGAGGTACACAAACACTAAAACCGAGTTATCGTCTAATATTTTGTATTTTTCTAACTTGAAAAATAGGTCACGATCTAGATCACATTCCCGATCCAGGGGAAGGCGATATTCTCGCTCACGAAGCAGGAGCCGGGGAAGGAGGTGAGAAATATAAATTCAAGGGGTTTTGTTTGTAGAATTTTTGAGACAGGGTTTCTCTAAAAGAGCTCTGGCTGGCCTGGAACTCCCAGAGATCCTCCTGCCTCTGCCTTCTGAGTGCTGGGAGTAAAATCATGTGTCAGCACTACCCAGCTAAAATTCAAGTTTAACAACTGGGGAGAGAAGATGGGCTTAGAGTGTCTTTTAATTTTTAGGTCAAGATCAGCATCCCCTCGAAGATCAAGGTCTGTGTCTCTTCGTAGATCAAGATCAGCTTCACTCAGAAGATCTAGGTCTGGTTCTATAAAAGGATCGAGGTATTTCCAGTATGTAACACATTTTTCCTGCTTACTTGTAGATGAATTGTCACGTCTTAATGACACAGTGAAGTACCTTAATTCAGTGAGAGCCTTCAGAATATTTGAGATCTAGAGGTTGTTTTTTAAGTCTGGTAATAAGACACTCCTGTAGTCTTAGCACTGAGGACCAGTATTGTTACTTGGGCCTGGATTTGAGGACAGACAGGGAGCCATATAGTGAGGTTCACACCCCACCTCAGAACAGAGTTAAAATAAATTATTCCAGTGAATAATATGGGTAGGCATGGTGCTAGCTGGGTGAAGAAAATGTTTGGCTACAAAGCTTGCCATCAAGCCTGAAACCCATGTGGATGGAAGAGAGAACCAATTTCCACAAGTTGCTCTCTGAGTTCTGGAAGGTTATGGCATTCACCTACTTAAACATTATACTCTCAGTAAAAAAAAAAAAAAAATTATGATAGAGTGTATTTGAGGATCTGGACTGTGTATTTGAGGATCTGTCTGCCTCTTGAGTGCTGGGGTTAAAGGTGCATGCCACCACACCAGCTGAAAACCTTATTAACATTTGGGTACATCTCATGAATATATTTGTACTACAGATAAGCAATTGTATATAAAAGCCACGGTCCTTTGCTGCTATCAATTTGAGAAAATTATTGTACCATTTCTATATCAACTCATAAAATCTCAAGGTTTTTAAAAGATGTATAGTCAACCTAACTTGATTTGACAAATTAAGGATCTTCAACTGAGATAAGAATAAAAGTCAAGTCACAGCTATTTTCTCAGATGGAGCCACCTATTATTAATCTTGCTTAACAGTGTTTAAAAATAGGACTGTTGCACCTGCACAGTAGTAGTGACCAATTGGGTATGACAGAGCAGATATTTGAAAGAGTGTTTCTCTTTATATTTGAAATCTCTGGTCATTTGCACTGCATTGGATTGCTTTAAGTCAAGAGTCATGCAGCAGTTGTCTTAGCTCCTCTGTCCTATCTATACCACCTGAAAAAGGTACTCAGATAGAAAGGAATTTTGTGTAATTGTGTCCCCTTTCATTTTTATTAAGATCACGTTCCAGGTCAAGATCAAGATCCAGGTCTATTTCACGGCCAAGAAGCAGGTAGGGTTTTAAAAAAAATGATTTAGTGTTGTTCTTAATTATATAGCACCAATATCCAAAGAGTTCAAAGTGTTGTAAATTGCTGAAACTTGGCTGTTAACCCAAAGCTTGAGTGTTAGGTAGAAATAACTACCTATGTTAGCCCAAATGAAAACTTCATTTATATATAGCCTACTACTCTGAATTTTTTAGAGAAGTTAATGCTAGATGACTTAACATTATTTTGGAGGTTAAGTGACCATAATAGTTACAGGTACATTTATACCAGAATGTAAAAGATGAACTGTAATAATATAGCAGTTCTCTCATCTTACAGAAACATAGGCCATTTTAAGATTTCCTTTCTAAAGGAGATGTGACAGGCACTGAAATTTTAGTTGCAGTGTGATTTTTCGAGACAGGGTTTCACTGTGTAACATTCCTGGCTGTCTGGGAACTCACTGAGATCCACCTGCCTCTGCCTCCTGGGTGCTGGGATTAAAGGCGTACACCACCACTGCCCAGCTGCAATATGGTATTTTAACTATGATTTGGGGGGGTTGTTTTTGTAGTCTGACTGTAAGATTTGTTAGCGCCTTCTCTTACTAGAATTTTTCATGTTTTGACAGCCGATCAAAATCCAGATCTCCATCTCCCAAAAGAAGGTAAGCAGAATGTTTTGTTGTCAAATCTTAACAGAATTGGGCCACTTGAGAGATCTTAAATGCCTACTTAGTGGTCTTTGAGCTCTTTGGAGAATTGGTGCTGTATAAGTTGGGTATTAACATTTTTAAAAGATGGTTTTTTAATTCTGCATTAATTAAAAGTTTAGTTGGAAATAGTCATCATAAGTGTTGGAGAAATTTAAGGTGTTTTAGTCTTTTGTCCTTAGTTGTAGGAATGTTATGCTTAAGAAACATAGTTTTGCCAGGTGGTTGAGGGAGAGGCTAGCCTGGTCTACAAAGCTAGTTCCATGACAGGCTCCAAAGGTGCACAGAAAAACCCTGTCTTAATAACCAAAAAATTTTAAAGACATGTTTTCCTGTGTGTATAATAGCTGAAAAGGAAATGTCCATAATGTAAAAATATAAGTCTTAATAATTGCAAATTGAGCCGGGCGGTGGTGGCGCACGCCTTTAATCCCAGCACTCGGGAGGCAGAGGCAGGTGGATGGATCTCTGTGAGTTCCAGGCCAGGCTGACAGCCTCCAAAACAATAAAGACCTAGTGCAATTCCTAACACCAGGTAAAGGTCTAATACCTCTGGCCTCTCCGGGCACTTGCATTCTTTTTTGGTTTTTCGAGACAGGTTTCTCTGTGTTGTTCTGGAGGCTGTCCTGGAACTAGCTCTGTAGACCAGGCTGGCCTCGAACTCACAGAGATCCGCCTGCCTCTGCCTCCCAAGTGCTGGGATTAAAGGCATGTGCCACCAACGCCCAGCAGGCACTTGCATTCTTGTGTACATAACCCACACAGGTAATTAAATAAGAATCTTTAAGAATTAATACCAAGCAAGGTAAAGGGGGGACATATAAATTTATGTTAGGCCTTTGGCCATAGGAATTAGATCCTTTAAATGTACTGAAATACTGAAAAAGCTTCATTAAACTAATTGGTTCCAAACTTAATGTTTTTCTTTTTAGTCGTTCCCCGTCAGGAAGTCCACGGAGAAGTGCAAGTCCTGAAAGAATGGACTGAAGTTCTCAGATTCACCCTTTAGGGGGAAGTTTTGTTTACATTATTATAAGGGATTTGTTATGTCTGTAAAATGTAACCTAGGAAGGATCACCAACCATCTAATCAAAATGGATCTGGGTTATTATATTGCTCTGTAAAATTCACAGCAGTTAAATATGTTTTTGTTGAATGTATATTAACATCTTATGGTCTGAAAATGTGGGTTTTTATTTGGCACATTTAAATAAAATGTTTCTAACTAGATTTTTGATTTGTGTTCAATATTAATATTTTTCAATTTGGTAACATCAGGTGTCAAAATGTTGTCTATATTGGCCTATATTCAAAGTTTAATGGTGTTGGTTAAACATTAAAAATCATTAACTGTTCTATACATAACACTGGCCAGGATCTTAAAGGACTTTGAAAATTCCATTTTACCCTTGTACCCTTGGGTTAAATGATCTTGAGTCCTGTTAATAGCATGAATGCATCATGGCAGATCCCTAACTAATTGAGAATTGATGTTAACTAGAATTCAAGCTAACAATCTCAAATTGTCAAGCTGGAGGGACCATTGATTTAGCCTATAAATGGGTATATGACAGGAACTTAGCATAAATGTCGTTAAGTAGGAAGAAACTGATTTCTAGAGGCTGAGATTTTAGTAACTTTGGGGTGATTTTTGCTCAATGTACTTTTTTTTTCTTTCAAACAGCCAATTTAATACCAAAAATGCATGTTTGAAGAATTGTCTGAATTTGGAACAAAACCTTGTAAACCAGCTTTGCAAAATTACTCAACCCCAATACTCTATATTGCCTTATCCTGTGCAAAAACCTGTTAATATCTGAATTAGATTTTGCAGTTTGACAACATTGTTCTATTTTGCCAAGCTGGTATAAAGAGATGTTAAGAAAAAGTGTTAATGAGACAAAGCAGTTTTGTAAACCTTACATATTTAGCAGCATTTCATGTAGCTTTTGTTTTTTGCTTTTTGTTTTTAGTAGTATCTGGTAGACCTTAGAATGGTGTAGATTCTTATTCAGACTTTAAGCAGTAACAGTCCTTTTCGAGTTTTTTGGACAAACTTTTTACTATATTTCTTAGCCTTGGTGTAAAAACAAGTAGCACAGGAGTCTGTCCTTGTTCATTTTAGGCTTTTTCAACAGTTGTCTAATGGTATTGCAACTTGAATACTGGTCTGCCTCAACTTTATTGACTGGTCACTAGTATGTTGGAATTCATTTGGATTCTTTTGTTTTTAGAATTTGATTGAATACATGGTGGTATGAAGCTATGTGTGTAACGGGCAGACTTATCTGTTGCACTTGGTTAGCTTTAATTCTGTATTCAATGAAAATTAATTTGTTCAACAATAAATCTGTAGAGATTGAACAAATAATCCTGATACTCAAGTTTTTGGAAATATGGTATCTGAGCCAAAAGATGCAGTCAACCCTTAAGATTAACTAGTAGCATTCTAGATAGGGCAGCGTGAAGGGATAGGGTGGAATAAAAGATTATCCCTGTAAACACTTGTGCTACCTTTTCTAGAGCACTGGGTCTGTAAACCAGTATGTTCCTCAGTACAGTTCCAGACAGTACAATGAATTTAATTTTTAGATTGTGACCACCCACTACTGAACAGGAAAAGTGCTGATCTTATCATTCACTTTTCTGCTTAACACTGGCCATAGTTCAGTAGACTGCTCAGGCCCTATTTTGAAAGTTTGTAACTAATTTTAGCCTTTGGATTAGGAGCCAGCCTTGAGGTCGTTATAGTAGGCATAGTGAAGATCTGTATTGGGAGGTCAGGGCTGGAGAAGTCTAACCTGTACCACCTGAGGCTTTCCCACCAGACGTGTTTCCAGGAGTAGCTCTTCCTGTGTGGCAGTCTTGGAACTATAGACCAGGCTGGCCTTGAACTAAAGATTTACCTGCTTCTGCCTCCCAAGTGCTGAGACTGCTTGTCAGCCTGAGACTATAAAGAAAAAAAAGTAAACTTGGATATAGAAGAATAAGGGGTGCTTTGACTACATCAAGTGACTAAGTTTTCTTTCAAGATTAATTTTCTTTGAACTTACGTATTTTTTTGTGCATTGGTGTTTTGTCTGCATATATATATAATAATCTGTGAGGGGTTGTGAGCTGCCATGATTATTGGGAATTGACCCTAGGTCCTTTGGAATAGCCAGTGCTCTTAGCCACCAAACCATCTCAGTGGAGAATAGAGTATTTCAATAAATACTAGACCTGGCTGTGGAGTATTCAGAGGGTTAAGATGAGGAAAATCCAAGATAAAATGGCTAATGGCTAGGTTTAAAGTACTTAGTGTAAAAACATCTAAATGCAGAACTGTGGGGTTTGAAATGGCTCAGCAGTTAACGAGCATTGGCTGCTCTTCCAGAGGTCCTAAATTCAATTCCCAACAACATGATGGTTTACAACTATCCGTATTGAGATCTGGTGTCCTCTTCTGGCCTTCAGGCACACATGCAGAATATATATAATTTTCCTGGGCGTTGATGATATGCCTTTTGTCCCAGCACTTGGGAGGCAGAGGCATCTCTTAGTTCTACAGAGTGAGTGCCAAAGTAGCAAAGAGAAACCCTGTCTCAAAACAAACCGACATAATTTTAAAAAATACAGAACTGTTATGTGGGTAGGATGGCATTCTAGTCCAGGCTGCCCTTAAGTTTGTAATTCTGCCTCAGCTGGATTTGACAAGGCATTGTTGTATATCCCTGGTGGCCTTGAATTAGTGGTATTCCTGCCTCAGCTTCCTGAATATTGGGATTATAGGTCTGTAACCATGCCTGGCTCACGTTTGTGCTGGGATGGGACCCAGGCCGATTTAGAATTCACGAGGCCCATCTCCCTGTGCCTTCTGAGTATTAAGATTAAAGGTGTTTGCCACAACACCCATCAGCCTCGATGAGTAGTTCAAGCTGACCTGGAACTCTTGACCCCCTGCTTTTCCCCATCTTACTTTGAGACAGTTTTATAATCCAGGCTGTTCTCAAAACTCTTAACAGGCTAATTTTGAACCTCTGAGTGCTGGGATTACAAGCACCTGCCACCTTTCCTGCCTGGCTTCAGAACTTTTATTGGCTTTTTTGAGACAGGGTTTTTTTCTCTGTAACAGCCCTGGCTGTCCTGGAACTAGCACTATAGAACAGGCTAGCTTTGAATTTGAGATCCACCTGCCCCTGTCTCCTAAGTGCTAGAATTAAAGGCTTGGGGCCACCAGGCCTGGCAAGAGCCTTTAAAAAATAAGGAAAGAATCAACAGTAGGCAGGTTGAATACTTGGAGAAAGTTACTTTAACTGGAACAGACTTGAATCAGCAAATGTGAGGCTTTTTTTTTTTTTTTGGTTTTTTTTCGAGACAGGGTTTCTCTGTGGCTTTGGAGGCTGTCCTGGAACTCGCTTGGTAGTCCAGGCTGGTCTCGAATTTACAGGCCTGCCTCTGCCTCCCGAGTGCTGGGATTAAAGGCGTGTGCCACCAACGCCCGGCAAATGTGAGGCTTTTATACTAAGTCAGTTTACTGAAATTCAGTTATTGAAGGAAATTGATCACACCAAAATTGCTACTACCCCCATCTCTTTAATGTGTATTAGTGTTTGCATGTAAGGATGTGTACCGTGTGTGCATAGAACCCATAGAGAAAGTTCAGAAGAGGGCTTTGGTGAACTGGAGCTGCAGATGATTGAAAGCCACATTGTGGGTACCCTGAACGGAAATCAGGTCATCGGTAAGAGTAACTAACTGTAAGCCATCTGTCTAGCACCCTCTTTTTGTGTTTGAAACAAGAGTTTCACAATATAGCCCTCACAGGCCTGGAGTTAGTACACAAAGCTAGCCTTAAACTTGGATTGATTCACCTGCCTCTGCTGGGATTAAAGGTGTGTACCACCAAGCCTGCTGTGGCCAATTTTATTTTGATGGAATTGGTTTTTTTTTTGTTTGAGAACAGGGTCTCTGCACAGCCCTGATTGTCCTGAAACTCACTGTATAGACCAGGCTGACCTCAAGTTCAGAGATCTGCCTGCCTCTGCCTCCTGTGCTGGGATTAGAGGTTTGTGTGCCACACCTGGCTTTCCTAGAAGGTTTTGGAGGAGAGTACTAATGGGAATCTAGTTCCCTACTGATGGACTTCAGTGATTTCTAATTACTATTGCCATCTTTAAGTGAACGTAGTTACCCATCTTTGCTTGGGTAAACATGCATGCATGTCCAGGATAATATCTAAGTTTCTGGGTCAGAGAGTATGCATACATTTTTATTTTTGGTGAGTGGTATTAGTTTTTCCTTGTGGCAATGTGTAGGTAGGGATGCCTGAGTCTCCATACTGCCTCTTTGGGCTTTCAGACTTAAGATTTTTAACAAATTTTGTCTTGAAAACTGGTATCACAATACAGTTTTTTCCTTTTGAATTATCACATTTTTGTTATACAAAATAATAGGCTTAGGACATTTCATACATTTAACAAAGTGCTTTAATTTCCTTAGTTTCAATATAATCAAACATATCCATCCCCCCCCCCATCCCTCGGCCTCCCATCCTCCCATGCTTCCCACCCACCCCCCACCCACTCCCCAAGGATAGTGAGGTCCTCCACGGGGGATCATCAAAGACCATCACATCATTTGGGGGAGGGCCCAGGCCCTCCTTTCCATATCTGGGCTGCAATAGTATCCCTCCATAGGGAATGGGCTCCCAAAGTCCATTTGTGGTCTAGGGATAAACACTGGCTCCACTGTTACAGGTCCTGTAGACTGCCCAGGCCTCCTAGCTGGCAACCACTTTGAGAGGGCTTGGTTTGGTCCAATGCATTACAACTAGGGTCTGCATGCTCTCATTAAGTCAGGTGAACTATTTCTGTGGGTATCCCCAGCACCATTTTGGTTCATTTTCTCATCTCTTCCCTCTGCAACTGAATTCCAGGAGTATGATTCTGTTTAGCTGTGAGTACCTGTTTCTGCTTCAATCAGCTACTGAGTCAAGGTTCTAGGAATGGTAACGAAGGTAGTCATCAATCTCATAGGGGAAGGGCATCAAAGGCAGCCTCTCTGGCTAGGCGGTGGTGGCCCACATCTTTAATCCCAGCACTCAGGAGGCAGAGGCAGGCGGATCTCTGTGAGTTCGAGACCAGCCTGGTCTACATACAAGAGCTAGTTCCAGGACAGCCTCCAAAAGCAATACAGAGAAACTGTCTCAAAAAAACAAAAAACAAAACAAAACAAAAAAGCAGCCTCTCCATCATTGCCTCGATTCTTAGTTGAGGTCATCCCTGTGGATCCCTTAATTTTTTCCCCCGTGCCAGACCTCTCTCCAAACCTGTACTGGCTCCCTCTATCAAGGCATCTCCTTTCTTGCCCTCCTCTATTTGTCTTTTTGAGACTGGGTTACCTCACTCAGGATGGTTTCTTATAGTGCCATCCATTTGCCTGCAAATTTCAAGATTCCATATCCCCCCTGTGTAGTACTCCATTGTGTAAATGTTACCACATTTTCTCTATCCACTCTTCAGTTGAGGGGCATCTAGGTTGCTTCCAGGTTCTATTACAAACAATGCTGCTGTGAACATAGTTGAACATATGTTCTTGTTGTATGAATGTGCATTCTTTGGGTATATGCCCAGGAGAGGAATTGCTGGATCTTGAGGTAGACTCATTCCCATTTTCCTGAGAAACTGCCATACTGATTTCCAAAGTGGTCGTACAAGTTTTCATTCCCACCAGCAATGGAGGAGTGTTCCTCTTGCTCCACATCCTCTCCAGCATAGACTGTCATTGGTGTTTATGATTTTAGCCATTCTGGCCGGTGTAAGGTGATTCCTCAGAGTTGTTTTGAGTTGCATTTCCCTGATGGCTAAGGATGTTGAGAACTCCCTCAAGTGTCTCTCAGCCATTTTAGACGACTCTATTAAGAATTCTCTATTTAGTTCTGCACCCCACTTTTTAATGGTGTTGTTTGGTGTTTTGGTGGCTAACTTCTTTTTTTTTTTTTTTTTTTTTTTTTTTGGTTTTTCAAGACAGGGTTTCTCTGTGGCTTTGGAGGCTGTCCTGGAACTAACTTTTGTAGACCAGGCTGGCCTCTGAACTCACAGAGATCTGCCTGCTTCTGCCTCCTGAGGGCTGGGACTAAAGATGTGCCCTCTGTCAGATGTGTGTAAAGAGAAGCTTTTTCTTTGCTAGCCGCTTTGGTTTATCCCCCGCCAGCCGCCTGGGCTCTGCCTCATTGTAGTCCCCAAATAACACACAAGACGCTGTATTAAATATGAAGCTGTTGGCCTTGTTTGTTTCTTACTGGCTAGCTCTGACTTAAGTAATTACCCCATAATTGTTAATCTAAGTATTTCTCTTACCGGAGAATAGTTCCGGGCCTCCTACCCCATG